TCGCGAATCTATGTATTTTTGACCTATTTTCTCACAGATTAGCAAAATATAAGCATGGATGTATATAAAAACAATTGGAAGAAAAACTTGTTCTTACATTCCGCTGTTACATTGGGCGGAATTGATCATGGCTGGACTCAGTTTAGTTTAGCCCATTATCTGGCTGCGCCTGGTTATAAGAAAAATAAAAAAAAAACAACGAAAATTCGGCTTCTAAATGTCAGCATCCGTTTTGGGTGGATGCAGTGATTATATCGAAAAATCATACATTAGAACCATATTGTCCATGGGGTATTCTGCAACTTAGTCACTGATCACATGGGCGTGCGTTGTGTAGTTCAGTCACAAATCATGAAAGATAACGAAAAAACTTGTTGGCTTCAACACATTTTCACCCATTTTTTTACATTACCACCATCACAGCTCCCATGCAACTTATTATTTAATACCAATATTTTACGATTTTGACAAAAACACTTCATTTTATAGAAATGAATTTAAATTATACGCAATATACATATTTCGCGAGTTATAAGTTTTCAAACGTCAGCTTCAAGGAATTTAAAAGATTTTTGTTATTTCGCATATAGACTTTGATACGCCAAAAATGTGCTTTGCCCAATCCGTTTCAGATAACTTGGAGTCGATTTAAAAATGTTAGCCCATCCATTATAATTTGTAAAAATGGGTTCTTGCCAAAGAAGACCCCCATTGTTTCTGGTAATGATAATATTTAGGGGATGAAATGAACCAAAAACCGTGTACCATGAAACTCTACAAGAAGAAGGGGAGCCAAAGAATTAGCATGTCTGTTTTGAAGAACGGTTCAAACGGACACAGACTTCTGTTTACTCCTGATGGACATATACCCGATAAGTTGATAGTGTATCCAAGAGGAGTGGTTTACCTCTAAATTATTACCAATTATATTGTGGGATTTATACGTACATATTTACAGGGGTCTACCAATTCTTCTATAGTTTAGTATTAACATTAGCACACTACAGGGCGGAAATGCAGCTCTGATGGCTATAATTTTCGATGATGATTAATTGATATTTCGTGTATCAACTGGACCGAAATTTTTTTTTTATTTTATCTATTTTTCTTTCGAGATAAGCTGCATGATCGAAGTTGCAACGAAGTTACATTCCAACCATTATGCGAGGGGTTTCGCCGTTGGTTAAGCGGCTCATGAGGCATATTGAACAATGTGGCTTACAAATGTCTTTACTTTATATATTGTATGTATGTTAACTATTTTTGCGAAATTGCATCTACGAATTAAATTCAACCGTGTTAAGGTTCGGACATTTGACATCACACCAGAACATCTCTTTTCAGAGCAGATTTTTCTTTTGTCTGGTATTCTAGTCGCTCTAGACGCCACAATTATAAACCGAACTTCACAAAATTTCCTTGGGAAAGGCTATCTGACCAACTTATTCGAATAGCTTTCATGAACCACACGTTTTTGAGTAAAATAATAAAATTTTAATCATATGGAGTCATTTTTTACTCCCGGAAAACTGACGATGATAATATAAAAGGATGCCTCTAATCGGTCCAGAATGTACAAATATCTCGAAATATTACCCAGGCTCTGACTAAAGATCCGCAGAAACTTAGAGCTCAGTGGTAGTTGTGTAGGATATCCTATGGTCGGCCCCGTCCGACTTTACCTGCCCCGCTCACGGGTTTGATAATGTAATACTAACGGAATATCCCATTTGAATCAAATTCTGCATAACCGAAGACGGGGTTTTCGGTCCATCTTTCACAAAAATGTTAACAATTTGTAAATTTTGTAAGTATTTTAATATATTGTTATTGCAAATTAGTCAGGCGTAATTCCAGTTTGTTTCTATATAAAAAAAAAACATTTAAATAATCAATCAAGATCAAGTCTGACCCTTGTTTTCTTCGGTTCCTTCTGCCACCTCCACACAAAGTGTCAATCCAGTATCAAGCGAAAGGAATGTGCGATTGGACCCAAAGTCTGCATATCAAAGTATTTTTATAAGTTACAGTAGTCATAGAGAAAATATTTTTAATAATTCTCGCGTATTGAAAGCAAAAAAAATATTTAATGAAAATAACAATTAAAAGCTTAACGATGATCTGACGGGCCGAACAAAACGTTCCAAATATTGAAAGTGGGACTCTATAGGTCAAAATATGGACCTATATTGATGCCTATACACTGCCAACAATAAGTTTTTCTAATTGCCCCTAATGCGTTTTATTAGCCCCAACCCGAATTTATCGCTTGTCATTTCTAGTTAAAAAAAAATCCACGCTTCAAACGAAATATTTTTAGAATTTCCACCCATATAAAAGATACTAAAACTATAATTCACACACATCCACATTTATAAATTTAAAGAAACAAATATTTAAAAAAATCATAACTATAAAAATATAAAAGAATTTTCTCTATTGCAGAACCTGCAAGAGTCTTCTATTAATCGTACTGTTTTAGAGTTTTCCATTTAAAAAGTCTAAAAATTTTTTTGATTGAAGGCAGTAAAGTCGGGCGGGGCCGACTATATGATACCTTTCACCACTTTGGGTATATTCAACAGATGAATGCTAACAGACGTCGAATTCTGCAACCTATACTAAATTTTTCATTTGTAGGGTTGCTTCATACATTGGGATAAAATTACCAAAACTCGGGAGCAAATGTATATAGAAGCTCTATCCAAATCTGAACCGATTTCAAAACTTTCCACATTTTAAAACTTTAGTACGTTGTGCAAAATTTGTGTCTATTTTGTGCAAAATCGGACGAAAATATATATGTAGAAGCTATTTCAAAATCTGAACCGATTTCAATGAGAATGGCAGATCTCTATCGAGATTTCAACAGACGGTCAAACAGTTTTATTCTGATCAAGAATAGACATACTTTGTGGGGTTTCAGGTAAACATTTCGAGGTGTTGCAAACGAAATGAAAAATTTAGTATACACTTCACCTTATGGTGGAGCGTGGAGACAATTGAGATATTTGCTACCCAATGAGTTTCAAGATACCTAAAACCAGGGGTGCCGCAATATAACGACTATTCCAAAACAAGGAATTCTAACTTCATTTGTCTGCCTTCATAAAATGCACCTCTATCCGAAGTGAACTTGATTACAATAATTGCTATCACCCTATAAAAATTGAGTCTAAAATTGCTATCACGCTATAAAAGGGGTTTCCCAAAAATTGGCTTGTCAAATTTGAATTTAGTTTGTGAACACACTCTAACACTAACCATCGAGCTGTCAGTGTTAATCTATTCTGTAAACTCAACACCTATGAAACTACACTCGAACTTTCAGCGGATGTAGATTCCTAGCCTGGGCAATAGTTTGCGATATTTGCACCCTATTGGCCGATTAGAGGTCAACAGCTCCTCTTTCTTACCATAAAATATTTTCCTAATCATATTTTCTCGGAGTGAACATTTAAGCTATAAGATTCAAATTTTGTTATTTTACAATTAAAACTCTTGGTTCATTTGAACCCCATTGTAACATCGACTAGAAAACCAGACAAAAACAAGTAAAACCAGTAAGGAAAGTAGAAAAGTCGGACTGGGCCGACTATATGATACCCTTCACCACTTTGGTTATATTCTACATATGTATCCAAACAGACGTCGCGTTTTTGTTATATATTTATATCAATTACATAAAATCGGACTAAAATATGTATGGGAACTATATCTAAATCTGAACTGATTTTCACGAAACTTAGCACGCGCCATTCTAGACTTAATTCAGTACGCTATGACAAATTTCGTCCAAATCGAATGATTTTCAGAGATTTTAGTTAGCTGTGCTAAATTGCATCTAATTCGGACCATAAATGCGACCTGTACTTTGTTTACAATTTAACATATGGACAGACGGACGGACATGCAAAAATCGACTCAGAAAGTCTATCACGATTATTTTTGCCTGTTACAAACATATGCACAAAGACATAATACCCTGTACCACAGTATGTTGAAGGGTATAAAAATATTTTTAAAGAACCCTCATTTATAATAATATCACGGTACGAGCGAACACCCCGGAACACCCAACCCAGTATATTTTATTTCTTTTTAAAATTAAATGAACAAATGCTGTTTATATTTTTAATAATTGTTTTTTTATTATTTTATTTATTAACTAAATTAATTAACATTTTCTTATTTAAGAATTATTATTGTTTTTCCTAAAGATTAATAACTAAAATTATTATATTACAATAAAATATTACACAATTCATTTTTTTATTGGGCTTTGCGTTTGTTTTATGTTTTTTCTAAAATCTATAAATTCCAAAAAGAGTCACTTAAAACTAAGAAAAAAGAAGAAGAAACAAAAGTGGGTGAAGATTAAACGAATTCCAAAAGAAATTTGAAAAAAATATTTTTGTTTTTATAATTATTTACATATTTTTTTTATAAATTTTAAGGAAACATTTACAGTTTTTTAAACTTTAATAAAAGTTTATGTTTTTTTTTGTTTTCTGATTTTTTTAAGAGAAAGAAAAATTAAAATTTGGGGGAATGTTTTTTCCTAAATATTTACAATTTTCAAAATGGATGGGGAAGGAGTGGATAATTTTTAGGGCACTCCTATTGTGCCCTAAGGGGATCTTTTTGTGCCTTCATTGTGGCAGAAATGTGTGTTTTATAAAAAATTGCCAATTTTGAATTTTTTGGGTTTTTTGTTGTTGTTGGTTATTGTCCAATGGTTATTCGAGTCGCTTCTAGATGGCGCTTCTTATTGCTTCTTTGATTTTGGTTTCCTACACCACCACCATGTGACGTGAATTTTTAAAATTCACCACTGGCTGTGTTGACGCGGGGCCCTATAACACGGCGTTGACGACAAAATGGCCACCCAGCAGCATTTTTTCCAGTTCAACTCAGTTGCTTTTCATATTTTTTTTTCGTAACGATAATTAGCCTACAAATTCCACTAGTTTAACATAGGTGTGTGTGTGAGTGAGCGTCTAATGCCACCAGGCCCTTTGATGGGCATGGGCAGCATGCATACCAGCTGCGGCTGCCGCTGCTGCATGCTGATAGGCAGCACCATTGGCCAAGACTAGATGATGAGCTGCGGCGGCATTTTGCATTTGGGCCGTAACACAATCCTGTGGCAATTTAGTTCCGTCACTTAGGCATGGCTTGCCGTTACGCACCAAAACGGGTACGGCAACACGACGTGGCGAAGGCAAAGCTGAGGGATGATGGGGATGGCCATGTAGGGCGGGATGTTGATCGTAGACTCCCTTTTCACTTTGGGCCCGTTTGGTCTTGTAGCGGTGATTTTGGAACCAAATTTTCACCTGTGTCGGTGTCAGACGAATGAGGCTGGCCAAATGTTCACGTTCGGGTGCGGATAGGTAACGCTGTTGGCGGAAACGTCTTTCCAGTTCGAAAGTTTGAGCCTTGGTGAAAAGGACACGACGTTTACGCTTTTTGCCAGGCATACCATCACCCCCCGAACCGGTATTGCTACCATCTTGATCATTTTCATCGTCAATTTCCTCTTCAATGCCATCTTCAATGAGGCTGTCATCGTGTGGGTTGGATGAATTACCACCGGCACTGTTGTCATTGGAGTTTTTCATTGCATGACCACCATTGGCTGCATGATGTAGATGATGCAGATTGGAGCTGTCACCACCACCCACAGATAAGGCATCACTATCCGCTGAACGACTGTAGGTTTTATAATCACCCGACAACGCGGGTGATGTTTGACAATTTGAACCAATATAGGTATAGGAGACTTCGGAATTAACGGGTGATGTACTGTCCGGACTGGCGGGTTGTTGAACACCTGGAAGAAGGAGGAGAAGAAGAAAAAGTAGAATTAGCAAAATGTCATAACTTAAAAAAATAATAAAAAATGAAATTAATGGAAAAAATTGTGGCGCCCAACGTAAACTAAAATCTCTAACAAGTTCTAGAATGAAGTACTTAGAGAGAAATTCTGTCTTACTAATAAAAATCTGAAATCAGAGATTACTTTAAAAATGGCGCCCAACGTGGTGTATATTTATGTTAAATATGTTTCTGCGTACAGCGTTAATAGTGGTAGAACTGAAAACTTTATATTTTTATTTTTACAATTTTAACTGAGAAATGGCGCCCAACGTGGGGTTTCTTTAAATTATTAATAATTTCTTTGAAATAAAATGGAGCGGATGGCAGAATATTGTCTGATAATGGAGAGATCAATTAATAAACACTAAGGCAGCATGTTTTCTCTTCTTGTTTCCCTCTTCAAGCTGAGATTTTTTCTTAAACCCAAGAGGTATTTTAAATTCACTCCCGTATTTAAAGGTGGGGAAGTCATTTTATAAATTTGTTAATAAAATTATTGTTAACAAAAGGACATTTGTCTCTTTTCATTGTTGTTGTTGTGTGTGTGTGTGTTTTTTTTTTTTTTTTTTTGAGTGACAATGCCTAACAAAACCAATATTACAAACCGGAAGGATGGTCCATTAGATCACACCTCTATTTGAGGTTTGCTATTGTTCCAATGACAGTTTTTGGCTTTTGATTTCTAACGAACAACAACAAGAACAAGCCGAAGGTGTACAGCATAGGCGGTAAGCCAAATGTGATAGTGATACGGGGGAAAATTGATGTAAATAACCCACCCTTAACCGGTGGCAATGAAGGTCATCATACCGTACCCTCCAGCAAAAACGGGAAGTAACAATTGTTGTTTAATGGCATCACAAAGCAAAAAAACAAAAAAAAAAAAAAACTGGGATTTGAAAACAATTGGCTCTTCTGGAACACCCGTAGAGTTATTGAATTCCATTTATGAATGAACTGACTAACAAGCCAGGTAGTGTGATAGAAATGAGTGAATGAATGAATGGCGGAGTAAGGAAGTTGGCTGTTTAAAGGAAGGATGGATGGATGTGGATGTAGATGTGCCGGCAGTCATATATTATTATTAAATGTCTAAGGATTAATTGAGATTCGATTTTCTCTTGCGTTGAGGTTTGTTTAAGGGCTTTGTTTAACAAAGATTGATGGTGTGACTTTTGCCAGCATAAAACGACTAAAGAGAGTGAAAGAGAGGGAGAGATTGGAAAGTAACCCTCACCCTTCTCCCTTAGAAAGATCTATTTTATAGTTGTGATATTATCCTGTTAAAATTTGTTGTCTATGTAAATAACCATGAATTGAGGTTTTGTATTTTTTTTTGTTGTAGTAGTTTTGTTGTTGCTTTGTTGTAACGTATGCTGCCTGCCAGGTCATGTATGGGGTGTGTCTCTTGTATTTCATTTTATTGATCTTGGCAAAGATGTTTGTTATATTTGTAAAAATTAAACAGCAATTTTCCAGTTTATTTGTTTAACATTTTCCAAGGCAATGACTGAGAATGGAAGAGGGGGAGTCTTTTCCAGGGTTTGTTATTAATTGTAAGTTAAAAAGTTATTAGTGGACTTATTACTCTTCACATTGCAGTTGTAGTAAACTAGTCACTTGAGATATACCCCTGTTTGACTTTAATTGTTGTTTTGGCAAAAAAAGGCAGATGTTTTTTTTCAACAGAGTTCTGAGTCCTGTTTGTAACGTTTTTTTTATAGTTAGTATTTTGTTTATTATTTTTTTAAATAACAACCACCCCTTAATTTGTCCTTTGGATTCACATTTGTCTGTTGTTTTTTTCGAATTTTTGTTTTTTAATCTTGACTAATAGCTCTTCCTGTATGGGTGCTTCACACTTAAGGATTATTTTGTTAGAGTTTTGTATTAGTTTGGCATATCATGCTTCTGCTTTTTTTGGCACGCACTTCCTTTATGGCTAGGCACGCTAAAGGATCTCAACATTATGGGAATTCGTACAGCTGTTGTTAAACGCGAATAACTGCAGTCAATGAAGCAGCAAAGTTATTAACCCCAAAACGGCTTGATTGAGTTTTCTTCCTCATTGCCGGAGTTGTTGTTATTAAGTTATTTATTAATTGGATAAAACAAAATTAGCCTAGCTAGGCTATTTGCTGTTGCCAAGGATACACAGGGAAATTAATCACACTTGAAATTAACGGAAAAAGGATACGAAGGGAAATTAAAATTAAAAATTGAATTTTTGGGAAATTTGAGGATACTTTAGCTTTCATCAGCTGGAAAAGATTAATAATTGCTTCATTTTGGGTTCATTTTGACCATTGAAATACCAAAAACTAATCACTTGTGATTCAAATACCTTAAAAAACATAAATTATTGACAAATGGCGCCCAATGCGAGTATTCTTTATATATTTGGCTACATAATTTTCTGTTCGATCTCAAATTTATAAAAAAAGTCAAATGGCGCCCAACGTAATGTAAACTCATAAGCTTGTCTTTTACAGTATGATCATTTACAAGAGTAAGGGCCTACCTTTAACCAATTCTTACGCTCTTAATAAAGAAAAAATTAATATATTTAAAAAGTAGACAAATGGCGCCCAACGGAAAATTAAAAATTGGCAAATGGAGACCAACTTATGATCATTTAGAAGAGTAAGACTTATAACTAACTATTTGAAAAATTAGACAAATGGCCCCCAAAGGAATATTACAAAAAAGAATGAATAATAAAAAAATTAATTTTGATGATACCTAAATATTTAAAAATTGACAAATGGCGCCCAACTTATGATATCCAGTTTTTGAAACATAAAAAAACTGTTCTTATTTTGTATTTCAACTTACCATATAATTCATTCTCCTTCATCCAAGCGGCCCTGCCCGTATGCGTCAACATCGTGTGGGCCATATGATGATACGATGACATTTCATCGTTGAAACCATTCGGAAAACCTTTGGGTAAATATTGACCAGCTGCGGCCACAGCGGCAGCAGCATTATGATGACTAGCCAATAGATGAGCGGCCGCCTGGGCTTGACTAACTGCCGCTGCTGCTGCGGCTGATGTTGCAGCATCTGTACCATGTTGTTGTTGCTGATGTTGCACCAATGGATTGTGCGTTTGAGCCGAGGCAATGTGAGCATTATGATGATCGCCAAGTGATTCATTTGACGTTGTCGGTGGCAGAGTTGTACTGATCGATGTCAAATGATTGCTATTGGCATCGGTAGAGGGCGGGGCAGAAATATCCGTGGCATGAGCAGCAGCGGCAGCATGATGTGGATGGACTAGACCATTTTTCAACTCAGCAGATTGTTCCAAATTCAATATATCCGATATATGAAAACCGGAAGATCTTTGCGATGAGGGTACCTTGGCATCAAAGAGGCTAAAAGAAAAGAGAGAGAAGGGGAAAAATAAATTAATAAAAATTATGGAAATTGAAAATTAATTGAAATGCTGTAAATGTTTATTGTGTGTCATAAAAATGGTTTTGGGTTGCCGATTTTATGATCCAATTAGGGAAAGTTAATTTTTTTATATGACCACACAACCTCTACCTGTCGAAGTTAGTTAGGAAAATCCTTTAAAAATAGGTACATATGGGAAATTTGAGTTTTGTGATGTAATCTAGATGGGAAATTATCATAGTTTAGGGACAATCAGGATATCAAACTTCTCCATATTAGATTGGCCTTAATATTATGTAGCATAGCAGTTTGACATTTATTTGTTTCTTAAAATTTAAATTAACTTTGTTTCAAGTCTCCTTTTGATATTCAAAAAATATCCGGACATTTTTGTTTATTTAAAAATGTGTTAAAGATTATTTTATCCCCTGGCATAAATCCCAAGATTATTCACACATTTTGTTTCCATTTCTTCACACCTCTCCTGGCAGGATAATATTATCCATCCTAGTTGCTTTTAAATTGAGTCAATGTTAAAACCTCAAAGTTAAACTATTCCCCGGTTAATCCCAATCCCAGGGAAAATTGATTTTTTCTTAATTTAATACCATCAACAATTAACGCAAAGTCCTGCCCTAAGCCTTAGTTTAATTTACGAAATAGGCACGCTTCAGTTTTCCGTCCGTTACACCTAACTACCTGTTTGTCTGTCCGTCCGTTAATTTAGTAAAACCACAAAACTGTTCTTAATACAAAACACATGTGATTGAGTAAAGATGGGTTTTCCGCTTGCACAGAATTTTCCCCGTTGAAAAACCAAACGATTTTTGCCAATTTAGTGAAAAATTCCCACGCCTTGGTTAGGCCACCTACTTAGTCGCACACCCACACAGAGACAAATTTAACACCTCTGATGATGATCAACTTGGCAAAATTGGTATTTACCTTTTGCGTACACAACAGGATCAATATCCTGTGTAGAACACAAGAGAGTGAGAGCTAGTCAGACAGGAAATCCCTTTGTTGTTGTTGATATTCCCAATATTTATCCAAAGGAATCCCCCGTGTTTGCCAGCTCAGACTTCATGTCGTCGCCTTCGTCTTTGCAGATCTAAATATTGTTCAGAATGTCTGGTCAACACATGTTTGAAATTAAATAAATTTTCTTATGGTTTTTCCTTAGCTCACCTGGGGAAATTTTTTGATTTTTAAATTTTCCTTCAATTTTTTTTTATGGAAGAAAATAAAAATGATTTCGAAATCCTAAAATGCCTTGATTTTTAATTAGTAAATCTCCTAGATTCTGGAGAGGAATTTGTGAAGGGAATTACGCGAACAAATTTTGCCCAATATCGTGGGCTTTATTTGCTAAGCTTGTATGTGTGTTAGGGGATATATCAAAAGGACTTGTAGAGGATCTGCAGCAAGTAGTAGGCCAGTTAATGTGATTAGTTAATTATATTATTATTTTTGAAATCGAACATTTGAAATATGGAACATGTTCCGTAAGGTCATCATAAACGTGAAATCGACGTAACGTGTATTTCGGAATTATATGAAACTAAAAGTATCCGGAAAAAATTCCCAATACGATTTAAATATATGTTGGGAACATTTTTGGAATTTTTATGATGATCGATGTGGGACAAATCTAAAGACTTGTCTAAGGATAAACTACAGTTTACTATTTTAGATTTTTACGGATTTTCGAATGGGGAAATATCCGGGAATTTTTGTAAGGATAAACCACAGTTTATAGTGCGATGAAGGCAGGTAGAATTTTAATACAAAACATATTGTCTGAAATATTTTATTAAATATGATTAACGTAAACGGGTCCGAAATAATTTATTAATAATTGTATTAAATATTATTAATTCGATACTGAACATAAACGTAAGGTATGCGTAGCGGATCCCGATTTCGGGATATTTCCAGAACATAATCTGTGGAAATTGTTAGATTTTTTGATTATTTGGGATTTTTTTGTAACGGGGAAATATCCTTGACTAAGGATAAACCACAGTTTATTATAAGCCGTAGGCAGACAGGTAGGATTTGCATATAAAAATTTCTGTTGGAATCGATTTAGTTATAATGTTTTATAAATGTGATAATAAAAGTAATGAAATGTTGAAAATGGCGCCCAATGTGGGGCACTTATCTCCCATTCAAAGAATATATAAATTTGATATTAGTATAAAAATATATCAATGCTTTAAACACTGGGTCTTTGGCAAAGCAACCAAAAATTTATACGTGGCGCCCGACGGTTTATTATAATGAGTGGTATACAGGTAGGATTCACACATACATTTTTGTTGGAATCGCTTTAAATATAACTTTTTATAAAAAAATCATGAATATCATAACTATAATGAATAATTATGAAAAGTTGAAAATGGCGCCCAACGTGGGGCACTTATCTCCAATCCTTAAAATATAAATTTGATATTAGTATAAAAATACATGAGGAGTAAATTGAGCGTCTGTGGTAAATTCTTAAAAAAAAACTGGGACATTTCCTACAAAGGTTTTGAATTCAATCGTCTAAGGACTTGCCTCCATGGCGCCCTAAGGAGTTTTTGAATAGTGACTTGGCCCCTCGAAAATTCCCCCATTTACCTCTTCAAAGTGTAATTTTCATATCACAAGTCTTTAAAAATCCAAATCTTTTCTGCAATAATTATTCAGTTGGTTTTGGGAACCCCTCCCCAAAACCCCAACTAATGCCCCCGAAAAAAATTCCATTTAATTTGTTCTAAAAAAAATTTAAATCCTTACCCAGGTAGAGCATTACGCAAAGCCGCCGGATAAAAAGCCGCTGGCAGCAGGGCATGACCCCATGGTGGCAACAACATTGGCGACCAGGGTAGAAATGGAGCCGCCGCCACTGCAGCAGCTGCCGCTGAGGGTACCATCAAACTGCTCATACTGTGCAATGAGGGAAATCCACTGAAACCGGTCGCTCCTGTTGGTATCCGCAAATGATCCTGTTGACCCAATGTGGCGCTGTTTGTGGGTACGGTTGTGGTACTCGTGGTTTTTGCAGGTTCCCGATCGTCACGTTTCTTCTCGCTACGTGCCATCGCTGGGGTAGGTGTTGATGTGCGTGGTGGTGGCGAGGGGGATCGAGATCGTGATCGAGGCTGGCGTTCTCTGGGTGTGGCCGGTGAACACACCGATATATCCGAATCCTTGTGTGGAGATGCCGCCGGCGAGCGACTTCTTTCACTGTCGGAGTGTGTGGTAGATTCGCAAGATTTGCGTCGCGTAGGCGAACAACGACCCGTTGAGGGTGAGGGGGAACGTTTCCTTTTCTCAGCCACTTTGAAGCCGTTAATTAACAGTTTATAATAAACAAATTCGCGTTATAATTTTAATCACTTTGTGTGGTTTTTCGAATGCACTTTATATGTATTATCCTTTTTTGCAATAAAGATTATCCTTTTTGCAATATATATATATATCCTTTTCTTTTGGTTTTTTTCTTAGCACTTGTATTTTGGGGCAATTTTAATTTTCTTTTGGTAAATTTTCCTTAATTTTTTTTCTTTATCAAAAATTTCCGTTTGCTTTAATTATCTGTTGGGAGTTTTTGGATAACTGTTTGGGTTTTTCACTTTTGTGTGGGTATTTTTTGAAACGTTTTGGTTTTTAAGGACGCGTCTTTATGATGATGCTGATGCTTACAATCTGAAGTGTCATCGACAACTAACTTGTAAGCAAGAACTCAACATAATTCCAACCAAATTTCAGCAGTTCATAGCCGGTGGTTGGCCGAAAATTCCGTGTGTTGACATAGAATTTCCCAACTACCACCACCACCGACATCACTATTGGGCAGAGCAGTCGAGCAACATGCCAATATGACGACGGCCAAGTCTACAACGATGAAAAACCCAAACAAATCCACTTTCACCTCTGGCCAACAAACGAAAAACCCATTCAACATATATAAAATCCCATGGGCTAGTGTCTGTGCATGTACGCGTGTCTGTGTGTGCGCAAGCGAGATTGAGTGTGTGTGTGTACACACTCGAAGTGGGCTCTCATATCCTTTTCAGCCATAAGCACCACTCTCTCTGTGTTGTATGGCGGCAGTAAGAACGAACGAAAACATTAACAGCTTACATGCCCACTTACCAACACACACACACTCAGACACATACCTACAACCATATTTACTCAACTCAGAGAGAAGAGCCCTTGAAGCCCTCATCAACACCAATTGCCTTTGAGCAGGCATATCCTTGTTTTTTTTCTGACAAAAACCCCAACAAGTGAGAGTAGTTATAACAACAACAAGGAATATATTTAAAGGTTTATCTCTTTCTCTCTTGATGGTAGAAATTGTAGCAATGGCGCGCACACTCTGCCATCAAAATCTGTGTAGCTGAGTAGAGGGTACTTCAAAAGATGAGAGCCAGAGAACGTTCTCATCATCATCACCATGCTAGTGCGAGGAGAGTTATTGTGAAAAAGGGAAATCCTTGTTATTGCCTCTTCTTATGAGCTGTTACTTCCTATCTTAATGTATGGCATTGTTGTTCTATGTGTTACTGTCGTTGTTGTTGTTCTATTTTCATTCATTCATCTCTTTGTGTCTCCATCAGCCAGCTAGCCAACCAACGTAACCCTTCGTAAACGTTGTAGGAAGGACCGGGCCATTGAAAGCGTATCGTGTCTAGTCGTTGTTTATGTGATTGGGTTATGCTCACACTCTGGCCATCGTTGTTGTTTTTGGCCATCGTTGTTGTTGCTGTTGTCTGTTCGCTCGCCTGCTCTCAATTTGAAGCCTTTTTCACTTGTACCTTAAGTACTAGGGGCTTTTCAATGCACTCGTCTTGTGTAGTGTAGAGTTGTTGTCCTTAGTTTTTGTTTGTTTGTTTTTCTTTTTTTGTCTTCCAAGGATCCTCCTTTTGCATGTGGAGGACCCCCATTCTTTTTTCTCTATGTATTATGTTATGGTATTTAACAAACACACACACGCTTGACCTCTCATCCATTTTGAATATCTTCGTACTTTGTGCTGTCATCATCATTTTCATCATCAGCAATTTTTATCCTGGGGCTTTTTGTGTCTCCTTGCTTGCTATGGATTTTTATGATTGTCTATGGCATGGGCAGGCATATCCCAATAGGGTTACTATGGGGTAATATGGGCTTTTAGTCAAGCTAGCTGTTTTATGTTTAGCTGTCCGTTTTATTTCATTATTAAATCGTGGAATTTATATGCTATTTAGTGGAATATAGGGGTACAGTGGTTTAGAAAAAATGGATTGGAATATTTTTTGTAAAGTAAAATATGCAGAATAATAATAATCTCGAGAAACGGCAATTAAACTTTATTTTGTATTTCTGGGACGAATTTTTACATATATTTATTTATTTTAATAAAAACAATTGAAAATTATGAAATATCGAATTGATTAAATATAAATTTGATATAGGTATAAAAATATGTCAAGGCCAAAAGGTGCAAATTTTTCAAAAAATGTTGACATAATTTAGAAGTGGCGCCCAATGTTGGAACTCAATAAAAAGGAAGACAAATATTTAAAAAGTTAAATATTTGGACCAGTCTATTTATTTCGTTCTTGGTATATTTTAATATTAATAAAAATATAGGGAATCGACGATTTAAAAACATAATTTAAATTTTCAGAATTTAAAATATATTTATTTTAATTCATTTTTTATTTATTTCTAATTCATAAAATATATATTTGATATTAATATAGAAATATATCAGAACAAAAAGTGTCTATCTGTGGCAATTTTTTCTAAAAAATTGGATATAATTTAGAAGTGGCGCCCAACGATGGAACCCAAAAAGGAAAAATATTTAAACAATAGCTATATCTACTCCTTAATGTTCGGAATAGCTTTGGAATGTTTTGTTATAAGGACTTCATTATAGGCAAAAGTATAAGTGGCGCCCAACGGAATTTTTAAAAAATGTTGACCCTTTCGGAATGTTGGCAAAGAAAACCAGTAAAGAAAGTAGTAAAGTCGGACTGGGCCGACTATATGATACCCTTCACCACTTTATGTATCAATTTAAAGTCAATTTATGAAACAATTTAATGTCAATGTTCCCTCAAAGAAACATACACCTTTCTGCAGCCTATGCTAAATTTCAATCGGGCAGATTAAGAATCGTTTGCGTACAATGGCACGAATTTATGGAAATCGATTTATAGCAAACTAGATACACGCTACTCAGTATGCCGCACTGTTCAAAATATAGTCTCAATCAGACACCCGTTAGAAATATATATGGTACGTTGTGCAAAACTTCGTGGCAACTCGACAAACATTAGGAGTTTGGTGCACCATTTTCCTAAAATCGGACGAAAATATATATGTGGGACTTAGATATAGGTCCCACATACATATTTCTGAACCGATATTCTCAAAACTAAACACACCGCATTCTAGACTCAATTCAGTACGCTATGCCAAATTTGGTGGAAATCGAAAGATATATAGGGATTTTGGTGCAACATTTACATTAAATCGGACGAAAATATATATGTGAGCTATATCAAAATCTGAACCGATTTTCAGGTTCATCATCATCCATCATTCTAGACTTAATTTAGTATGCCATGCCAAATTTCGTGACAATCGAAAGATATTTAGGGACTTTGGTACTTCATTTACATTAAATCGGACGAAAATATATGTAGGAGCTATATCTAAGTCTGAACCGATTTTCTCGGAACTTAACACACATCATTCTAGACTTAATTTAGTACGCCATGTCAAATTTCGTGGAAATCGAAGAATATATAGGGACTTTGGTGCACCATTTACATAAAATCGGACGAAAATATGTATGGGAGTTATATCTAAATCTGAACCGATTTTCACTAAACTTATCATATGTAATTCTAGTCTCAATTCAATGCGCTATACCAAATTGCGTGCAAATCGAAAGATATATAGGGACCATGGTGTCCCATTTACCTTAAATCGAACGAAAATATATATTGGAGCTATATCTAAATGTGAATCGATTTTCACGAAACTTAGCAGACATCATTCTGGACCTAATTCATTATGCTGTACCAAATTTCGAGCAAATCGAAAAATATATAGGGACTTTGGTGCACCATGTACATAAAATCGGACGAAAATGTATATGGGAGCTATATCTAAATCTGAACAGAATTTCACGAAACTTTGCACACATCATTTTCATTTTCTGGAAGTTTTAAATTTTTTGAAGTTTTAAAGAACTTAAGTTGAAATGGCGCCCAACGTTGGACGATTATCTCCATACATACATTAAATATAAATTTGATATTGGTAAAAAATATATCAGGACCAAAAGTATCCACCTTAGGCAAATTCTTCAAAAAATTTAACATAATTTCGATGTGGCGCCAAAAACGCAAAAAAATATTTACAAATTCGCTTTATTTTAGGAATAGGTTTGGAATGTTTTGTTTTAAAGACATCGATTATGGCAACAAAAGCTGAATTTCCCAAAAACTATAAGTGGCGCCCAACGGATTTTTTGAAAAATGTTGAACCCATCGCATTTTTGTCAAAGGAAAATATTTACAACAGTTGGAAGTTGTAGGCTATTTAAACATTGTTTTATATTTCTGAAACATATAAATGTTCAGAATTTTGAAATATATATCTTTTTATTCAATATAAATTTGTAGCAAATTCAGCAAAAAAATTGACATAATTTAGATGTTACGTTGGTACCTAAAACAATGGATAGGTTTAGAATACTTTGTTTTAGGGACTAATTGGCAAAAATATTGAATTCCTTAAAAAATATAAGTGGCGCCCAATGGAATTTTTACAATATTTTTACCTTTTTAACATATATTTATTTTAATAAATCATTTGATTTCCAATAAGAAATTTAACAGGAGATATATAATATATGGGTGGAGGTAATTTCCGCATTTAACACCAAAAATTTGGCTTCAGCCAAATCATAGGAAATACAGCTAAATCTCTGGTCCTTCATGAGAAAATTCATTTTTAACAGAAAAGTCTTGGTCAATCTAACCCGCTAAATATTGACCGATTATCATGGAAAGAGCCATGCTTATTCCATGGTCAGATCTCTTTCTCCAAGGTAAATTTCGTGAAGTTTGTGTCACAATTGTCGCCTCTACAGCGAGGACACAATTAGGAGTTCATTTTATCCTCTAAATATTTCCCGATCATTCAAAAACGCTAGGAGGAGGAATAGGAGTCTTTGGATCTAGGGCCAATATTTCGCCGCGTTACAAACCCTTGGATCAGCAAAATACACTTACAACATAGTTGTGTAGGGTATACAAAATTAAATGGATATCCCGTGCTTATGGTATTTTCATTTTATTGATAATTACTAAAAAAGTTCAATAAACTTTTGTACCTAAGGTGTGAAAAATTCAAATTTAACCCCACCAAGATTTCTTCCGAAAATGCTGAATCATAATTTGACGGCACGGGTCATTGCTTCCTATAAAAATTATAGAAAAAAATCTAGCTTCCATTTCCTCACAAAATATTCTATTCAGAATTATTTTAACTTTCTCAAACAATTGATTTTCTCAAATTAGTTGGCATTAAAAGAAAATAAACATTGTCATTCTTATTACCTGTTTCACTGTATCTCATATTTTCCAAATCATGGGGTTTTTATATTATATCCGCACACATACACACACATTTAAAGCCATGACTTTAAATGTGTTTGTGTAGAACAAAAAAAAAATCATCGGAAATTCTTTCATATAACAGCAATACTTCCGTTTAATATTAAAACGGAAAATGTCGGCAATGATAGAGAAAATGGAAAACGAAATCAAATA